AGAAACAGCACAACTCTTCGTTCGATACATCATCTCACAGCATGGCATTCCAACCACACTCATCTCCGACCGAGACCCCAAGTTCACCAGCAAGTTCTGGAAGGAACTTATGTCTCTCCTCGGAACCAAACTCGCCATGTCATGTGCTTACCATCCACAGACAGACGGACAGACCGAGCGCTTCAACCAGATTGTCGAGCAACTCCTTCGAGCAGCCTGCAAGGACGAGATCTCCAAGTGGGACTTGCACCTGCCCGTTCTAGAGTTTGCTTACAACAATGCTACACATGCCGCTACGGGACAGACGCCGTTCTTCCTCTGCTACGGACGTCACCCACTCACACCACAGAAACCGACAACATCCGCTACAGTCCAACCTGCACATGATTTCATCGCAACCATGCATCAGCTTTGGGATCGGACCCACAAGCGCCTCTTCGACATTCAGCAGCAACAGAAGCGCCAGGCCGATCGCCATCGCAACGACCACACCATCACGGTGGGGGACCAGGTGCTTCTTGACACCCGCAACCAGGACATCAGCCATCTCCCATCTAAACTTCGACCTCGCTTCTGCGGGCCTTTTCTCGTTGAAGCACAGGTCACTCCTGTTACCTTCCGCTTACGCCTGCCAGCTACCTGGAAGATTCACAACGCCTTCCATGTCCAACTTCTGAAGCCCTATCGGGATCCGAACACGATCTTCGTCGAACGCCAACCGCCGCCGCCACCGCCCGTCCTCGTCCAGAATGAACCCGAGTACGAGGTCGAGTCCGTGCTTGCACACCGCCGTCGTCGGAATGGCACCGTGGAGCTTCTCATCCGTTGGAAGGGTTATGATCCTTCTGAGGATAGCTGGGTACCTGAGTCCGACATGGGTAACGCCCGTCGTCCTCTGCATGACTACCTTGTCAAGCAGGGTGTTACTTCTACCACCCAGCTTTGAGGGGGGGAAGTGTGAGTGTACGACCCCGTTACACCACTTGGCCTTTTCTTATTTCCTTCCTATTTCATTTGTCTTTTTATCTCATCTCATTTGGTTTCCTATTCTCCATTTTCCCTTAAACCTTTGGTTTATCCTGCTAGTATAATTATATCACCGACCAGGCTTGGGATGTATTGGTGCGCTCTATCTAGCGTAATCCTGCCGTAATCCCTTAAAGCCAATAGCCTCGCATGGCTATATGCAGGGTGATTCTATTTTCTAGAAGGGTCTATTCCCTTAGGATAAGATAAACCTGGTTACCTGATGTACTTTGGAAGTATAAAAGCGCCTTGTACTGATTCATAGTGCAATCTTTCCTCGAGTCATTCGATCCTGTGACAACCAGACTCCACGAACGGGTGTTGCTGCAGCGGCGGCGGCGGCTGCTCCGGTGGCGGCGATTGCGACGACGGCTATGGCGGCTGCTGCGGTGGCAACTGCGATGGCGGAGGAGGAGACACCGGGGGAGAGGCAGGCGGCGAGAACAGCGGCGCAGGGCCACCAGAGTCAGCCGACTCCTCGACCGGAACAACTGACGGGAGGGGAGTGACGTGAGACACACCAGACGGAGCAGGACGGCGAGGGAGGTGAGCAAGGGCTACCGTGGGAATGGGAACCAGAAACAGGGGAGGGGAAACCGGGAGACCTCGGTGGGGAGAGCGGTGGTAAAAGGAGACAGACTCGTCGAAATTAGCGTCACGGGAGTCAAAGAAGCTGTGAGACGGTGGGTGGTAGAAGTGTCAGTCAGACGAGTCAAGGGGGAAACCTAGGAAGACACAAGGGACTGTGCGGGCAATGAGCTTGTCCGTGCCAGAGGCACAAATGTGAGCAAGGCAGCCCCAGACGTGGAACGCAGACGCGTCACGAGAGAACCCGGTCCAAAGAAGGGATGGCGAAACCTGCGGCCGGTGGGAGCGCGGCCAGAGGTTAAGTTGGTGAGCGGCGTAGCGAACAGTGAACGGCCACAGAAAATGGGGTGCACTAGCTTGAATTATTGAGATACGAGCCACCTCCATGACCAAACCGATGCGTCACTCAGCGACCCCATTCTGCTGCGGGGAGTTGGGTAGGGTGTACGATAGGGTGATGCTCTCCGCACGACAGAACTGCCCAAGCCGACCAGAGGCGAACTCGCCGCCACGGTCGGAGTGGAGACACAGCACAGGGAGACTGCGGTGGAGGCGCGCAGCTACGACCCACGGGATAAGAACGTCAGGCACGTTGGCCTTTCACTCCAGGGGATGCACCGTGGTGTAGCGCGTGTAGTCGTCAACGAGCACTAGAAAGTAGCGCTCGCGACGTGGTCCAGGGACGGGGGCTGGGCCCCAGTCGTCCAGGTGCAGGGTCAGTAGGGGTGCGGTGGCAGGTCAAAGCAAGGAGGAGTGAGGAGCATGGCGCAGCCGGCCCTCGACGCAGGGCATGCACGGCGGCATGGGGGAGGGAGGGAGGGCAGGAAGCGACGAAGGGAGATCTAGGACGAGACCGTGCTGGGACATGTGACGCAAATGCGGGAGTGCGGGGTGACCTAGGCAATGGTGTTATAGAAGCGACGGGTGAGTGAGCGACCGACACGAGCAAGCAGCAGCGACCTGGGTAGACGCAGGGCCCGGGGAGGACGCCCCAACTGGGGGGGAAGCAGTGTCCAGCGTAAACATGCCAGACACTGGGTCCCGGGGGAACGTCGCAAGGGGGGAACCTGAGGCGGCCTCGGTACAAACAGCGTACCGCTCGTGACCAGGGAACGTAATGGTGACGCCGAGGTCCTGAAGACAGCCGACACCAACTATTTTCCTGGAGAACGAAGGGATGTGCAGGCTTGTAAGGGAACCTGAGGGGACTGCTGGACAGGAAAGGGTAGTGTAGCTGCGAGCAACAACAGGACCAGAAGAGGGGTCAGGAAGTGCGACAGCGGCAGGCGCAGCGAGCGGCGTGAGGGTGGCGTGGTCGTGGAAGAAGCAGGCAGACGCACCGGAATCGAGCGTGAAGGACAGCGAAGCAGTAGCGGCAGACGAAGGAGGAGCAGGTGTGGAGCCTAGGCTAGACAAAGCAAACGGTCCTACGCCTGACGCAGCAGGGGAGTCTGTACTACACACAGGTGCTACGCCTAAGCTAGAGAACACAGGGTAATAAGATCCGGACACACTAGAAGCGTCAGCATACAGAGAATGCAGGGCAGAACTAATATAATCTATGTCTAAGTCAAACATAGGCACACCGTGACGCAGCAGGCTGGGCCAGTTTGGGAGGTCCGGGGCCGCCGTCGAGGCGGCGGAAGGAGCGAGCGGTCGGGTGCGGGCGGCGGCACACAGTGCCACGAAGGGGCTTGGTCTGAAGGTGGTACTGGCAGCTCACAGCACCGAAGTCGCCGGTAGACGCGGAGCTGCGGGGGCCGCCACCTCGGCCACCACCTCCAGGGGCTCCTGGCCACCTCGGTGGGAGGCGGGCCCACGACTGCTACTGCGGCGACTGCTTTTGCTGCGCCTGCTGCGGCTGCTGCTGCTCCTTGACACCAGCCCCAACCCCCTCGTCAGAACCATTGTCCCCGCCACCACCACTACCACCACCAGCGCCACCACCACGCCCTCCCTTGGGGCCGCGGCGGCCCCGACGCTGGCGCTGCTGCGGGAAGGCCGCAGCTGCGGTCTCAGTGGCAGGGGCAGTCATAGCGACCGCGGCGGAAACATCATCGTACGTGCACTTGGAGGGAGCACAACCCTGAAAGATAGGGACTGCCGCAACACCGCTCGACTGAGCGATAGTGCGCCGGCGAGTCTCTATCTCAAACAGGGCAGTAACAAAGGCAGTCAGGTTGAGGTTGCCAGGGTGCTGGCTAAGGAAGTGGTCTTGAGCAGTGGCTAAGCGGTCAGGGAGGCGCATGGCAATAAGATACAGGGTAGCGCAGAACGGTGGGGGGAAAGCCGTAAGCTGGGCGGTAGTGCTAGCAGCACGGTAGCTAGTCTCTAGTGCACGGATGTGAGTGGCGAGATCAGCGACAGTGGGGAAAGCGGAAAGACCAGGGAATAGCATGGGTAAGATCAAGCGACCAGCAGAGGCGGAGGCAGGTGTGGAGTAGCGCGCAACCACTGCATCTAGAAAGTCTTTGGCGTTTGCTACAGCAATGAAACAGGGGCGCTCATACAGGGGAAGCGCATGGCTAATGGCAAGCTGCGTTACAGACAGTGCGAGAATCCCAGACAGTGCGAGCGAGCGCAGCAGCAGCAAAGGCCTCACTCTTAGCAGTGGTGGGGTCAGCAGGGAGGGGATCAGGCGCGGAGGGGCGGGGAAGCAAGCCATCAACATGCATAGCCAGGGAGTGCCCATCCTGGCGCTGACCTGTCAGGTGCCGGCGAAGATCGACAAGCCAGGCGGCGAAGTCGATCGCGTGTCCCTCTGCGTCCAGGCGAAGTATGGCGTCCGCCATCGTGCAACCTCAGCGGCACAGGGACACGGCGACACAGCAGCACAGGGATACAGTTGCACAGGGACACGGCGGCATAGGTAATCAGCGGCACGGCGGTACAGCGGCATGGCGGCATGACTCTCCCGCGAGGAGACTGGGTGGAAGGCCGAAGAGGGCCCGAGGTGCGCAAGGCCCGAGGCGCGCAGAGCCGGCAGGGCGTAAGGGGCCGGCGGAGTGCTGGGGCCCAGGGGCGCGGGAGGGCCGGTGGGCACTTGAGGAGCTAGCGGACGCGCGAGGGGCCGAGTCGCACGAGGGGCCGGCGAGGCATACGAGAGGCCGGGCAGGTGCGAGAGGGGCCGGCTCGTATAGAGGGGTCGGCACGTACGTGACGGGCGGGCTAGGCATGAGAGGGGCCGGCTAGCGCGAGGGGCTGATACGACGCGTGTGGGGCCGGCTAGGCGAGAGGGGCCGGCTAGGCGCAGGAGGCCGGCTCGGCGCGAGGGGCCGTGACGGCGCGCTAGGGGCCAGCTGGGCTCGAGGGGCCGGCAGGGCGCGGTAGGCTAGGGCGAGGGGCGGAAGCGGGTGGGCGGACCTAACCTTATCATGATACCATGTTAGAATACTAGAATAAAATAGAAACAAGAGAGTACAGGGAAGATATAGGGTTGGAGATGTACTCTCTAAGAACACAAGCCTAACCAGCCTATAATTTCTACATATAAACATATGTATAAGTTGACACAGACTTGTTGCCCTGCCCTTACAACTTTGCTCCAACACGCCATCTTCTCTAGTCTGGTGCACCAGGTACTTGGTTGACATGCCTTTGTGCTGCAGTCCCACCACAAGTGCGCATCCGCATGCTGTTCGCTGCTGCCATACAGCCCTGTCGCTTGCATACGCCCCAGCACTGCACCTGGCACCAGGTACTTGGCTTTAAGAGGACTAAACCCCTACTGCTTGCTGCCCCCTACTGCTCTTTGTGATACAGCCCCTTGGCTTGTATGTGCGCCAGCAATGCATGTGGCACCAGGTACTTGGCTTTAAGAGGACTCAACCCCCTACTGCTTCCTGTGATACAGCCCCGTGGCTTGTATGTGCGCCAGCACCGCATCTGGCACCAGGTACTTGGCTGACATGCCGCGCTCTAAGAGCCGGCTGCAGCAGCACGTAGGGAGGATCGGAGGAGTGCAGTGGAGTGGAGTGTGGTGGAGCATGGTTGAGTGGGCAAGCAGTAGCATGTGTGGCAAGGTGGAGCGAGGCAGGAAGGGAAGAAGCAGAGTAGGGAGATTGGGGGGAGGGGGACAAGGGGGGCCCACCAAGTATGTGAAGGGAATGTTGTCTTTACTGGTACAGTGAAGAAAGATCTCTTCACATCGCCTAGAATGTGCTATTGAATTTACGAAGGTATGCAAGTACAAACGATGAGATGTGCTGGGGGGAAGCCAAGGGGAGGGAGGACAGGAGTGGGGCCAGGAGAGGGAAAAAGATGGGAGACGGGGAGGACACAAGCGGGAGCCGCGTGGGGACACGGAATTGGTGTTGAAACGTTACCGGATGTGAGAGGAGCTGACGTTGTTCTCTATAGGCTGATCCACTACAAGGATGTTGTGCTGGTGGTGGTAAGGACAGGGAAAGAAGAGGATAGACAGAAGTTCCGTAAGGAGGGAAACGGAAGAAGAGAATGCGAGTAGATTTAGTAACCCATTGTATTCAGCATTTAGAGAGCACGCGTGCATGCACATGCTCCCTCACTTGTTCCCTCACTCGCATTTGATGGCACAGCAAGTCTGACTCCATGCATCAGTGCCCCTGCGAGTGATGCACTCTGTCACCCCCCCACCCCCCACCCCCCTCACCCCGTCACTCGGGTACTGCCGACTGTACGACAAGGCTGCAAGCTGTGCACTCACTCACTCCCCCCCTTCATTCCTCAATCTACCCCTCACTACCCCCTCCCCACTCACTCTGTGGCGGTAAAGCAGGTCAGACTGTAGGACAAGGCTGCAAGCTGTGCACTCACTCCACATCCTCCTCACTCACTCCCCCCCCCCCCCCCACTCACTCTGTGGCGGTACAGCAGGTCGGACTGAAACACAGTGCTGCGCGCATCAGTCCCCCGACGGGCGATGCACACAATGCCATGCGCGCCGAAAATCTCCTCCAACTGAAAGGTATGGATGGGCGTGGGGGGTGAGGGGGGCATGGAATGTCATGGAACATGGGTGGGGCAGGGGAGTGGCAGGAGAGGGGATCCAGGCTCCCTGACAGTGACTGACGCCACGCCACAGCGGCCAATGATTCCCTCCTGCTGGGATTAGGGCATGTGGGCAGTGGATGAGGTGGAAGGGAGGCTAGAGATAGGAATCGACATCACGCTGTGGCGGAATTTTTTTTAGACGTCTCAAAACAGATTTAATGTCACATGGGGATGAGGCGGAAGGGAGGCTGGAGATAGCGACATACATCACGCCATGGCAGTTTTGGATCCACTCTGAAGGCATGATCCGTGTGCGTGCCATGTGGTGCGCCGTGCTGCATGCATGGCGCGGATGGCATGGATGGAACAGATGGCATGGATGGCATGGATGGCATGGATGAAACATCTGGTTGAACTCACACAAGAACCACTCACATGTGCAAGCACCACCCTACTGTGAAAACACAACCCACATGTGCAAGCACCACCCACATGCGGCAGAACAAAAAAGGGCGGAGGGGCATCACTCACATGCGCAGGCACCCACACGCCCGGCTGCGTGAACGACTGCAGCAAGTCCGCCCCACACACCAGCATCACCCGCACTCTTGCAACCCCACTCCGCTGCTCTCCTGCTCCCCCTGCTCCCCCTGCTCCTCCTGCCCCCCCTGCTCCTCCTCCTTCCTCCACATCTCCACCTCTCTCCCTCCTCTCCCCCCCCACTCCACTCGCCACCAGTCCACTCAAAGGCATCTCGCCCTCTGCCCTCATTGCCTCTAACACCCCGCTCCCGACCTCCCCTCCCCCAATCCGCCCCCCACCATCCTTCCCCCCACCCATCGCCTCTGCTCCACACTCCTCTCTTCTTCCCTCCCCTCCGCCGCCCTCCCCTCCTTCCCCAGGTCCCCCCTCCCCTCCCCTGCCACCGCCAGCCGTGGCCAGCAGCCCAGGGGACTCGAACGTGGCTCCTTCAAGCGCCCAGGAGTGAGTGTGGGGGGGTGTGTGTGTTTGGTGTGAAGGTGGATGAGGGGATATGTGAGAGTGTGGAGGTGAGGATGTGTGTGCATGGCCATTCAACGATGGTTGGGGGAGTGCGGAAGATGGTGGATGGATGGCAGCGGAAGGTGTTTGGGCGGCAGAAGATGGTGTTTGGGCGGCAGATGGTGGTAATTGGCTGGCAGATGATGGTGCCAGGGCGGCAGATGTTGATGCTTGGGCACCAAACGGGTTGAGTGTTTGTTTGAGTCGTCGCAGCACACAGAGCGTGCGCTGATAGCATGGCTGGGATGACTGCCACAGGCACGGTGTGAAGGGGAGGGGGGGAAGAGGGGGGAGAGGGGGGGAGGAGGAGAGAGGAGGGGGGGGAAGAGGGGGGAGAGTGGGGGAGGAGGAGAGAGGAGGGGGGGAAGAGGGGGGAGAGGGGGGGAGGAGGAGAGAGGAGGGGGGGGAAGAGGGGGGAGAGGGGGGAGGAGGAGAGAGGAGGGGGGGAAGAGGGGGGAGAGGGGGGGAGGAGGAGAGAGGAGGGGGGGGAAGAGGGGGGAGAGGGGGGGAGGAGGAGAGAGGAGGGGGGAGACAGCTGGGAAAAGGGGGTGAGGTGGATGGCGAGTGGCATGCTGCCCAGGTGAACGGGAATGGAATGAAAAGAAACGCAAGGGAAGGTTGCTTGGGAGCGTAGGTGCAGGCACTGTGTGGCAGGAACGACCCCACACAGCTGCAGAATAGAACACAAGGGAGCAGTAGCTTGCTGTCGCAGGCAGCAGCCAAACCACACAGTTGCAGTAGCTTAACCCGAAACCTTAAACCACTTATTTTTTACTCCGTGGCAGCCTCCATGGCCACTGCGAGCTTTTATACAAGAGTGACGGAATCCATAAAAGGTTCCATGGTCCCTCCATAGGAGGAGCCACGTTTTTTAGTCGACTCAAAGGCTGCTTCCATAGGAGGAGCCACGGAACCCTGAGGAAACGGTTGCTTCTATAGGTTCCCCTGAGGAAAGAAACCACGGATGATGGTATGCACCGCACAGCACCTTCCTTGAAGCAGAACCCACCTCCCAAGGGTCCACCATGATGTATGGCGAATCAGAAGACGCCAGCTGGCACATCCTCACTCGCTCCTTGGCTGGGGCAAGGCCCTGTGGGGGGTATACGGGAGAGAAAGATGATCCGACGGAGAGGAGGAAAAGAAAGGCCAGTCAGGACACGTTGGGCACGTATCGCAGAAAGAGACGGAAAAAGGCCACAGATGTGGGGTTGAAGGAAGCAGTAGGAGGAACAGGGGGGAAGAGGGGGGGGGGGGGGGGGTGTTGTTATCATCACGGCAGGGGAGGGTAGCCATGGTGATGAGGTAAAGAATGAAGCCATGGTGATGAGGTAAAGAATGAAGCCATGGTGATGAGGTAAAGAATGAAGCCATGGTGATGAGGTAAAGAATGAAGCCATGGTGATGAGGTAAAGAATGAAGCCATGGTGATGAGGTAAAGAATGAAGCCATGGTGATGAGGTAAAGAATGAAGCCATGGTGATGAGGTAAAGAATGAAGCCATGGTGATGAGGTAAAGAATGAAGCCATGGTGATGAGGTAAAGAATGAAGCCATGGTGATGAGGTAAAGAATGAAGCCATGGTGATGAGGTAAAGAATGAAGCCATGGTGATGAGGTAAAGAATGAAGCCATGGTGATGAGGTAAAGAATGAAGCCATGGTGATGAGGCAAAGAATGAAGCCATGGTGATGAGGTAAAGAATGAAGCCATGGTGATGAGGCAAAGAATGAAGCCATGGTGATGAGGTAAAGAATGAAGCCATGGTGATGAGGCAAAGAATGAAGCCATGGTGATGAGGTAAAGAATGAAGCCATGGTGATGAGGCAAAGAATGAAGCCATGGTGATGAGGTAAAGAATGAAGCCATGGTGATGAGGCAAAGAATGAAGCCATGGTGATGAGGTAAAGAATGAAGCCATGGTGATGAGGCAAAGAATGAAGCCATGGTGATGAGGTAAAGAATGAAGCCATGGTGATGAGGTAAAGAATGAAGCCATGGTGATGAGGTAAAGAATGAAGCCATGGTACTGCGCATGCTCATGCCACATTCTCCGACGTCTTACAAGCTTCCCGTACTCGGTACAACAAGCGCACCACACTCAATATGCGCGCATCTCCTTTCGTACTCGTTATAAGCGCACCTCCTTCCCGTACTGGTCGTTGACTGGCGACATGTAAGCACCAATCACGTCCCACCCCCGGTCCTTGAGCGCATCCCGACCCATCTCTGCATGCAACAGGAGAGGTCAAAAGACGACATCTCATTCTTGAGCGCCTCAAAAGACGACCCGCCCCCTCCACAGCGTATCCCCAGCCATCTCTCTGCATGCAGGGAGGGAGGACGATGAGGTTTAAAAGGGGGTTCTTTGAGGCGCCTCGAAAGAAGTCCCGCCCCCTCCCACAGCGTCTCCGAAGCCGAGCCATCTCTCAGCGTGCAGTGCAGGGAGGATGGGGTTCAAAAAGGGGGTTTGCCATACTTGCACGATTCTGATATGTATGGGGGGGGGTGGGGAGGAGGGCTGGGGGGCATGGGAATTGGTGGCGACAAACGGGTGGAGGCTGCCGAGAAATGACACTGAGAGCGCACAAACAGTTCAGGCGAGCTTTCAGGTGCTGCTTCAGGTGAGAATCAGATGCCGATTATAATTTGGCATTGCATGTAAGAAATCGCCGACTATGGCCTCGCAGCTACATAATTTCAGCGAGAGTGAATGACGCTAATTTGATCAAGAATCGCTTTGTGTGTGTGAGGAATGAAAGACTGCTTTTGAGTCGACTCGAAAGTAAGACCCACACACCTAACATCCTCTCGCCCACCCTCCCTTAGTGTGTGTCAAGTCAAGCGTATAAGACTCACCCACCTAGCATCCTCAGGTGCATTATCGTGGGCGGGTTGAAGCTTCCAGGGAGCAGCAGCACCACCTGAGGGTGATCGCTTAGAGGCCGTCCTTCGAAAACCGAGTCGCCACCGTCTACTCTCGGCCCATCAAGGCCTGCCACGTGGCACATGAGCTTCTCAAGCGGCAGAGGAACGTGTACAGTGCCTGATGACGTCAGATGTGACAAGAGAAGGGTGTGAGGGGGAAGGGGGAGGAGGGAGAGGAGGTTGAGGAGGAACTTGAGAGCAAAAGGATGCCTGAAAATACGTCAAAATTCGGAGCACGGTGGGGGAAAAGGGAGAAAATTAAGACGCACGCTCTGGGAAGATGCTGTTTATCAGGCTGACGTCTCTCGTACTACCAAAGCTCTCTCACCCGCGCCAGCCTGACCTGCGTGTCTCAACCGGACGAAATACTTCCACGAGCGACGCTAGGAGCTGAGGCGAGCTCAGGCGACTTTTGAGTCGACTTAAAACTCACCCGCGCCAGCCTGACCTGCGTGTCTCAACCGGAAGAAATACTTCCAGGAGCGACGCTACGAGCTGAGGCGAGCTCAGGCGGCGTGGCTGGTAACCCAAAGAGATCCAGCGGCTTAAGTTGACTCCAGTTGACCTGAGTCCTTTTCAATGGTGTTGATTTGAGCTAGATTCGGCAGGTTCAGCCGGCTTCTTGATGAAGATAATCGAGTCTCACCCACCGCATGACAGCTCTGCGCGGGGATCCCTGCCGCCGTCGGCGCTGTCGCTGCCACCCCGTAAGCCATCTCCGTTGCTGCTCGCCTTCTGCTCTCCGCGTTCTTCTCCAGCTTCCGTTAGCGGCGCTGCTGACGCTGTTGCGGGGCCAGCTTCTAACGAGGATGATGCTGCAGCAGCGGCTGCACCTGCTACGACAGCTGTGGCGGCAGCAGCGACAGCGGTGGCGCGTAGCGCGGGGAATCGTGCACGCAGCATGGAAGCGAAGGCGGCAGCCATGGCTGCTGAAGCTGAAGGATCGGATTTTTTAGACGCAAGCCCAAACGAGGTCGGAATTGAGTGGGGCAATGATGCATGGCGGGAATTGCCGAGAGGCGAAATACTCGATACAAGATGTCCTGCTAAAAAAAACCCACGTTTGGCAGTCAGCATCATTCCGTACAGTGGTGTTTTTTTCTAAGGCCATAACGTAGGGTCAATCTCGAAATTTATTATCTAGGCAATTGTTAGTTAACAAAACACTACAGGTTCTACCTAGGCCTGATCCGATCTAAAATCCCCACTGCAATCACTACAGCGAGTCTTTCAGTGGCAGACAGGCTGTAGCGGCTGCGCTCTGAGCGCATCGAAGTCCAGACTCGAGTCGAGATCCTCGTCCAGCTCCCCCACCACCGCTCTGCATTGCACGTGTGGCAGGACGTGGAAAGATAAGGACAAAGAAGGGAGTGAGGGGAGAAAAAATATCCATGCGGCCTGTGGCCTGGAGTCCAGACTCAAGTCGAGATCCTCGTCCAGCTCCCCCACCACCTCTCTGCAGTGAGCGTTAGTCAGGCACGGGGAGGGGAGGACAAGTGAGAAGGGAGTGAGAGGAAGGGTCTTCGAAGCCCCAAAGCGATTCAGACTAGAGTCGAGCACGAGAAAGCCCGAAGCAAAAGCGACCTGGGAGGAGAAAGTGGGCAGCCGGGCAAGAGAAAGCGGGAAGGGTAGCGAGAGAGGGACGAGGCAGGAGGGGAAGGTGAGAGGGGAGGTGAAGGAGAGTTGGAATAGAGGCTAGAAGGTATGCATTTGCGTGGAGCATATCTCAGAAGTGTGTGGCAGGGTGTGTGATTTCGTGAACAGAGGCGCAATCGCTTCAACTCGGCTCCAATCAGCTCGCTCAGTACAGTCACATAGTCCCTAACACACTCGAAATAACTAAATAACCAGCGCACTTGATACACTCACATGTTATCTCCTCGTATAATGTACAGCCCCAACACCAGCTGCTCTACTCCATGCTGCACAAGCGGGAGGGAGGGAGATCAAACAGACACAGAGCGGGATTGTGGAGGTGAAACATAAAAAAATGGCTTTTCTTTATAAGGCGCATCAAGCCAGCACCAGCTGCTCCATCACTTGCTGCTGTTGGGGGAATAAACAGAAAAGGAAAGAGCGATGAAGGACAGAGGGACACACGTAGGATACAGAAAGTGCTGATCCATTAAGAAGAAAGTTAACTAAGTGCTTCGTTTTAATGTTTGGGTGTGAAAAATAGCCCTTGGCAAGAGAATGTGGAAGGTGGAATGAGAGGGGACCAAGCAGCAAGCCAGGTGGAATGTAGCGATGTGGAACAGACAAGACAAGGGGTTATAACACGAGAGAAAGGGACTTGGTGAGAGGGGTGCTGGAGGACGAGGAGGAATCAATGGCTGGAGTGGAGGCTTTGCAGGGGAGAGGAAGTTGAGGAGGAAAACGAGGTACAGCAAGTACACAGGAGCGATAAGAACTTTACGAGGGAGGACATGTTGAGAGCACGATGAGGAGCAGCACCAGAAGCAACAGGCTGTCTAGAGTTGAGAGAGTGGCTACTGGCATACTGCGGCCATCAAGCGGGCTGCTTTTCTCTTGAAGCCGGCTCAAAAACCCCAGGACTGACTTGCATTGGACTGACTTGCCTTGGTGGAATAGACTCGCTCGTGTGACTCGTCCAGAATGATGTTGGTGGCCTGGTCGAATCCCTTCAGCACGCCCTGCTCATGACCAGGTGGAGACGCACGCGTGGGGAATGAGAGAGAAAGCACTCAAGAGTGCGGGGAATAAAGCAACATGTGAGGCGCCTCATGAGCCCATAATGATGTTGGAGGCATGGTTGAACCCCTTCAGCACGTTCTGCTCATGGAGCGGTGGATAAAAATGCGTGGGGTGTGTAAGCGATAAGAATGCGAAAGCCATACTTATGAGGCACTTGTAAATCGGTGTTAAGCTCGCCTGGTCTGAGCGGAATGGGGCGATTGAGGCCAGGCCGGCCAAACCTGGTGGAGTTCAGAATCCTAATTGTCAGACTCAATGTTTCGTGATACAGCAGCAGGGCCTTCCACTCACTAGAATGGCCTTCCACTCCCTAGAACGACCTTCCACTCGCTAGAATGGCCTTCCACTCGCTAGAATGACCTTCCACTCACTAGAATGGCCTTTTACTTACCATAATGGACTTTTACTTACCAGAATGACCTTTCACTTACCAAAATGGCCTTTCACGTATCAGAATGGCCTTTCACTTACCACGATGTTGCGGCCATCATTGGTGATTACAGACACAGTCACTGCACTTGCTTGCACAGCAACACCACTCTCCACCCCCCTCCCCTTCCCCACACTCCCCACTCACCTCCCACACTCCCCCCCCTCCCCCACGTTCTCCTCCCCCTTCCCCACCCCCGCTTCCCCCTTCCCCCCCACAGCCGTTCTCCCTCCGCTCCACGCCCTCCAATAGCCGCCTCAACACATCCCAGCGCGCAAACACACGCACACACCGCCGAAAGCATACACAGACGCACGAGCATACAAGCAACGTTAGTCCAAGTCTTGTCAGGTGGAGCAGGGATTCGTCTCGTGAGGTGAATGAGCCAATTGTGCGCAGAATGGGGGGGGGGGGGGGGGAGGGGAATAGGGGAGCCGGCACAACCACATAAACTGATGGGCCAAAAAACGAGCGTATTACGGTGAAGGAAATGTTGATGTGTTACTCCCGTTGCGTGACATAACGTAACACGGTGAAAGAATGGCAAGTGAGTAGCCCGGAGACGACTCACGGTCTACGTAGGGCTCGAGTCCGGTCTCCTTCCCCTCCCTCCCCGCCATTCAGGGGATCTCTGCAGAGGATGCACTTCAAGACCCGCGAACCTTCTTGAGAGCCTTTCAACGTTGAATTCGCACGAAATATCCGAGCTTCTCGAATGCTACTAGTTAATCGCAGCAGTTAATCGTTTCCTTGAACTCGCTAGTAGATAGTTTCAGTCTTAGAGTCGTGAGCACCTAGGTAGCGACTGCCCTGAGACTACGTCTTCTGAGCAGCGACCAGAGGAAAAGGGAACCCTCAACACACGGCAGAACGCAATCCCAAACAGCCTGCACAGAGTAGAATCTTCGTAGCTTAGCGCAAACCTGTGCTTATGTAATACCTGGTTTCAGTGCTCCAAGCAGCACAACCTGATCTCACTACTGTTCAACTAGGAGCTCACGCAGTTTGAGCTCGACCCCCAGCCAGACCGTCATGACACAAAGCCTCGCTAAACCATAGATAAATGGGGTGGTGCCTATGGTTTAGGAAATTAAAAGAAAGTATAGGTGAACCAGATAGGCAAGAGGTACAGATCCATCTTTATGGCAGATAGGAATCTATTAGCAATTTTTGTGAAGGGTTTTAGTGAACACATTTTATGTGTTATCTACTTCGTCAAAAGTACGCCTGTCAAATGTACTACTAACATTTATCACAAGTAACGCGGATGTTTCTGCCAGGGCAACGGTTTAGGGTTTGATTTGAGGTGAGGTGCAGCAATCACTCCACTCCCGTCCCGTCAAATCATTTGCTCACTCTTCCGAAGCTATCCCGCCCTGCACGCCACGTCCGCGCTGGTGCTGCTGCTTTCCGTGCGTATTTTAGTGCTCGCATACGCCGGCTAAGACACCGCGCATCCACATAAAAATGGCGTGCCAAATGGCGTCTCACGCGTCCGCTGCCTTCGTTATCCCGGCCTCCGCCGCTCCCGTGAACCAACCATCGAGCAGCGTCTCGCTGCCGGCCGCCTTACCCTGCCGCGCACTGTCGTCTCTCAGCGCAACCTCCCCGACTCTCACCTCCCTCTCCCGCCAATGCGCGCGCCAGTTCCCCCGATCCACGGGATCTGCTCGCGCTGCTGCAGCCACTCCCGTCCGTGCGATGGCCGGCGGGGACGGATCTGAGCCGTCCGGCCGCATCATCCGGGGCAAGTGCTTCGTGCTGGAGGACAACATCGACACGGACCAGATCATTCCCGCCGAGTACTTAACTCTCGTGCCGTCGAACCCGGACGAGTACGAGAAGCTCGGGAGCTACGCCATGGCGGGGCTTCCCGCGAAGCACACGCTGCGGTACGTGCAGAAGGGGCAGATGAAGACGGAGTACGCGATCATTATCGGCGGGGCCAACTTCGGCTGCGGATCGTCGCGCGAGCACGCGCCCGTTGCGCTCGGCGCAGCGGGCTGCCGCGCGGTGGTGGCGGAGTCGTACGCGCGGATCTTTTTCCGCAACTGCGTGGCGACGGGGGAGCTGTACCCCGTGGAAACGGCGGAGGGGCTGAGGCTGTGCGAGGTGATTAAATCGGGGGATGACGTGACTGTAGATCTGGAGCACGATCTGCTGATCCACCACACCACGGGCAAGCAATACACCCTGAAGCCGATTGGGGAAGCCGGACCCGTGATTGACGCTGGGGGTATTTTCAACTTTGCCCGCCAATCTGGCATGATTGCCCAGAAGGCCTGATTTTCCAGTTGGCTTCTTTCAGGTGGGGGATATCAGTTACAGGGCGGAACCAGGGGTGGTTGGAGGTTAGGACACCTCCTGTGATGTAGTTCTGGCTATTGTGGGACATGGCTTGTTTCAAAGAATTACTCATTCTTGGCTGTCTGCCATGCCATGCCGCACCCAGCATTTTCTTGGCTGGTACAATGTTTCATCCAGGGTACTAGATTTACCTTGATGAGCATATACATGCTGCCACACTGCAGTGGAAGGTGTTACCCTTGGAGGATGGCAGCTGAAGGCACTGTAACATGTTGCCACAACCATACCGGTACATGTGAACGATGCATTCTAACTAGATTGAGTTGTTGATGCATTCCACCACCACCGTCCCCCTTGTCGCGCCCATGACTGCCTTGTATGTGTTCAGGGTCTCAGATAGGAATTCTGGCATCCTGATCACTCAGGGCTGACCACTTCTATGCATACTGATTCTTCAGGGTGATTCCCAAGTTCTATACTAAGGCCCCAGGGTAAATTCTGGTACGCTGAAAAACTTGCCCAATGTTGCAGAACACCAGTTTTCATGCATGTGCTGCCAACCGCTTGGGCAGCAGCAGCGCGCCATGGCAGCTAAGTGTCAGCGCTTCATGAGGTGATGGCTTGATGCAGTGCACTCAGCAAACTGACCAAGACGTGAGAGCTAAGGCAGCAAACAAGGGGAAAACAAGGGGTACCCCCATCCCGTGGTGCATATAAATCAGGGTTATCCCCAAAGGCATACTGAAAGTACAGGGCTGGTACACAACTCTAAACTAAAATTACGGGGTGAGAAATGGGATCAAACTGGAAACTCAGGACTGGCACCTAACTTCCATCCTGAAAATCAGGAATTCTGGACAAAACATCCTGAAATCTGAGGCCCTGTATGTGTTCATGAGTAAGCCTGCTCCTGTTACTGCATTCTGCACCATCTTCCTACACCTACAACTACAGTTACTGCTTCTGGTTTGTTCACTTCACTGTTGCTATTCTTGTGCCTGTCCCAGACCCTGATCCTGCACTCTGCCCTGGCCTGTCCCTGTGTTGCTTGTCCTGCCTGTTACACATACATAACTCTGCTACAACCTGCCCCTGCCCATGCCCCTGCACCTGCACCTGGCCCTGCATGCTGCAGACATTATGCTCCCTGATCCTGTGTTCTTCCTTAACCTGCCAATGAAAGGACACGAACCCTGCTAGAACCTGCCCATTTCCCTGCACCTGACCCTGCAAGCTGCACTGCACAAACACAGAAAAGTAAGCCCCCTGTTCCTGTTTTCTTCCTTGACCTGCCCCTGAAATGACTCTAGACCTGCTACACCTTGCACCCTGACCCTGCATGCTGCACAAGGAACACACATTTAGTCTGAAAACGAAAAGACAATGTGGCAAACAATTCCTGTCTTGCTACCCTGTGGCCCTGCAAAACAGCACCCCTGCAATTCACAGAAGCACATGCAAGAGCATGCATGACCCAGAACACAAGGACATCCGACAGCCGGATTCCCTCTCAGCACCCCTGCACAGGGGCAAGAGGTGAGAGCTCCAAGTGTAGACGCCAAAGCAGCAGCAAGCAGCACTGACGAGACAGCTCCGTCTCCAACGCTTCCTGCACATCAGCAGAACGGAATCTCTAGCCCCCTGCACGTAAGAAGAAACAGCAACGCAAAAATCTCCAACATGCCGCGCTGCCTGTAGAAGAGGCAGAAGACAGAGGGCAGACGATCAGGCGCATAGGAGATGTGGCGAGGGCGGAGAAGACGAGTCCAGCCGCCCAGATACAGCCTCCTGCAGCTGCAGGAACACCGAAAGCAGCTGCACACGCACAGGCAGGCAGGCGAGTAGGCAGCGACTGCGCTGCTCACGCAACCGCAACGGGCCTTCTCGGTGCAGCGCAGGGTTTAGTACTGCTGCGGAGGGTAGTCCCGCCTGTCCCCACCGCCTCCTCCAGCTCCGTACCCCTCATACCCGCGCTCATGCTGCTGCGGCGGCGGCGGCACTGGTGGTGCACCACCACCAGCACCACCCGCCGCACCAGGGCCATACCCTCCGTCCCTGCCATCGCCCTGGTAACCACCGTAACCCCCTGGCGCGCCCCTATAGTCCCCTGCAGGCGCGCCATACCCCCCACGCGCGTCAACAGGCGGACCATAGTCGCGGTTGTCACGCGGCGGAGCACCATCCTGGTACCCCCCACCAGCACCCGCACCAACAGCACCAGCACCGTAGGCATCGTAACCTCCCCTGCCGCCGCCACCACCCCCGCCCCCTCCCCCGTACGCTCCGTTATACCCATCATACCCTCCTCCCCCTCCTCCCCCCTGGTAACCCCCCCTATCAGCCCCCCCGCGATCCCCTCCCTCGTATCCTCCCCCTGCGGCGCCTCCCCCTCCGCCAGCGGGCGGCCTGTCGCGCTCCTCCCGCGCGCGGTTCCACTGCTCGATCTTCGCGCGTCGCTCCGCGCTGCCCTCGCGCACGGGGCTTCGGCTGCGGCTGCGCGACCGTCGCCCGCGACGGCGGTCGTCGAAGCGGCGGTCGTCGTAGCGGCCGCGGCCTCCGCCGCCCCCGCGCCCGTAGCCGTACCCGCCGCCGCCGCGCCGGTCGTCGTAACGGTCGTTTCGGCCGCCGCCGCCGCGAGGAGGGCTGCGGCTGCGGCTTCGCCTCCTGTCGCCGAAGAGCTTCCGTCGTAGCTCCCTGCAGGGAAAACAACAACAGTGCTTGTGTAAAGCGTCAGTGCCCAGTGGCATGACTACAAAACGAGACCAATGTTTGAAAGGAAGGATATACGGGTGATGATGGTAATTAAAAGGGTGGCGGATCGAGGGATTAGTCGAGTTGAACCACAAAAAGGGTACCTGCTGATTTTCTTGAGGTGCATGAAGTTACAGTAGCCGCCGCGGTTACACGTGTTCTCCTCGTACTGGCGGCAAGTGGCCTCGCGGAAGTCCGTAACCGGCGAGAAGTCCACCAGGATGGGCCGGCCTGAAAGCCGGAGAATACACGGGCGTCACACGATGCGGTGCTCACATGCGTAAGCGCTTGCGGGGGACGGAGAAGGGAAAAAAGCAGAACAGGGAAAAAACGTAGAAAGGTAAATAAAGCGAGAGGAAATAACCAGCCAAGGGTGAGATATCGACCTGCGTAGAATCGGCCGGTCAGGGCTCTGAGAGCTGTCGCGGCCTGCTCCTCCTCGCGGAAATTGACGTAGACGTTGCCGACCTGCCAACACAGGAGAACACGCGACGGGGTCAATCAGAAGCACGCCGTCGAACGTAGAAAGGCACGAAAAAAACGAGAAAAACGAGAGTGGCAAGAATAACGGATCGGGAAAACCTGTGCACGATGAGCATTGAGTTACCAACCGACCATGTGGCCCGCTAGGTTGTCGGGCTGTTGAGCTCGCCGTACTTGCTTTGAAGTCAACTCAAACATCAACTAGCCGACCAAGTCCCCATGTCATCGGCAGCCAACTGACCATGTGGTCCGCGAGGTTGTCGCAGATGTTGAGGCTCTTGAGCTCGCCAGGCCTGCTGAGCTACTCGAAGGGATAGACCAACTAGCTAACTACCTACTAGGTAATTAACTGCTAAAACCGACCATGTGGTCCGCAAGGTTGTCGCAAATGTTGAGGCTGTTGAGCTCGCCGTACTTGCTGAGCTCCTCGAACAGATCCTCGTAAAAGTCCTCGTAGTGCTCCTGGATCTTCTTCGGGTCCATCGTCTTGTCCGGCTCGCCGCCCGGCGTCGCCATGTCCGGCCGCTGGTACATGTTCGCCAGGAGCAGCGTCGGGCTAATCGTCGGCCTGTTTACGTAGAAAAAAAAAAAAAGGCGTATGAGATTTCAAGGCCGATGCAACTCGCCAACCGGCGTTGCCATGTCCAGCCGATGGTACATGTTGGCAGGAGAAGATTCGGGCTGATGGTCGCCCTGATAGCGACAAGATGACAACTTAGCAGAAGGCAATGATGATGCAATATGGAGAGAGAGAGAGAGAGAGAGAGAGAGAGAGAGAGAGAGAGAGAGAGAGAGAGAGAGGAGAGAGAGAGAGAGAGAGAGAGAGGAGAGAGAGAGAGAGAGAGAGAGAGAGAGAGAGAGAGAGAGAGAGAGAGAGAGAGAGAGAGAGAGAGAGAGAGAGAGAGAGAGAGAGAGAGAGAGAGGAGAGAGAGAGAGAGAGAGAGAGAGAGAGAGAGAGAGAGAAGAGAGAGAGAGAGAGAGAGAGAGAGAGAGAGAGAGAGAGAGAGAGAGAGAGAGAGAGAGAGAGAGAGAGAGAGAGAGAGAGAGAGAGAGAGAGAGAGAGAGAGAGAGAGAGAGAGAGAGAGGAGAGAGAGAGAGAGAGAGAGAGAGAGAGAGAGGAGAGAGAGAGAGAGAGGAGAGAGAGAGAGAGAGAGAGAGAGAGAGAGAGAGAGAAGAAGAGAGAGAGAGAGAGAGAGAGAGAGAGAGAGAGAGAGAGAGAAAAAAAAAACGGAGGTAGGAGAGAAGAGGAGATGCCTTGCAGCGTGGGCTGAGTAGCGGCCAAAAAAAAAAAAAACACCTGTTGTGTAGACGCGAGCAACGGTCGCCATGGCGACAGGCGCCGATCTTGAAGTAGAAAGGACAATTCACCCTATCCTTCTCTGTGCCGAAGATGGATGCGAGATGTTCCGCCATGGCTTCACGGATACTCTGCGACCCCTGCCTTCAAGAAGTTCTTGTGGTTCAAACCCCTATCCAGGTTTTTATGGACGCGCAGGTGCTCGAGACAAGGGAAAGCTGATACTGTATCTAGAAAACCAAGACGCGACGATATCGTCCGCACATCCAGCCAGTGGCTAAAACCCGACAGCTGACAAAAACTCCTCCCTGGCTACCCTGCACCAGCTAACCCCCACGACAAGGCACTAAAAGCAGGCCTGTGTACAGCGCTTGGGCTGAACAAGCCGCAGGTCAGACAGAAGTGTCTAGAATCCCTCGCGATTCGCGAGAGGTTCGCGAAATCACGATATTCACGACGACGGGACTCTGGTACTGTTACAGGAAGAACCAAAATCTATGAACGTTGGTAGCTGTGCAAATGAACACCCCAAAATTAGTGAGCCTCAAGTTATAGTTGTGCTTCTCATTCGGTTGAGGGGGGAAACTTGGGGGAGTAGACTAGCGGACGTCATTGCTCCATAAAAAGAGCGATAAATCCAGAAGTTGATACAAAGAGGACAATGTCATTCAAATAGGTACCGCAATAGAGGCATGGCAAAACGAAGTAGAGCTCATAAGGCCCAGCAGCTGACAGCATCAACCCCCGCATTATATGCTGTCTATTTGACACTTGCATTGACAACGGTGGATGTGCAAGGCCCTGCAGACGTCATCATGGGAGTGTCCTGGAACTTGGCCACCCCAGCGTCGTCCGTGCACAGGAACTGACGGAGTGCGAGGAAGAATGGGATTGGTTGGGAATGAGGGGAGAGTGAGGACGCAAGGAGATTGCCGTCTCACGGGTGTACCCAAGGGCTTGGCCGCCCCCGTATCGTGTGTAATGAGTCGATTTTTGAGTCGACTCATTACACACGGAGATGTAACGGGTGTACCCCAGGACTTGGCCGCCCCCGTATCGCCCCGGATCGTTCATTTCGCAGGAATGCAAGGAATGCAAGGAGAAGGTGCGGCATAAGGAGAGGAGGGAATAGGCAAACAAATGTCATCTTGTGTCTCTGTCTCGCAAAAAATGCTACTGTAGCAGCAAGGCTGTAGCTGGTACACAGCAACAAGGTACATAAAGGCTGTAGCCGCAAGGCACGCACCGGCTGTAGCAGCAAGACACGTACCGTTGCAGCAGCAAGGCAAGCACCGGCTGTAGCAGCAAGGCACGTACAGTCTGTAGCAGTAAGGCAGATACCAGCTGTAGCAGCAAGGCGCATACCGGCTGTAGCCGCAAGGTGCGTACTGGCTGTAGCAGTAATGCAGATACCAGCTGTAGCAGCAAGGCACATACCGGCTGTAGCAGTGAGGCACGTACTGGCTGTGGCAGAAAGGCACTTACCGGCTGTAGCAGTGAGGCACGTACCGGCTGTAGCAGTAATGCGCATACGGGCAGTAACAGCAAGGCACGTACCGGCTGTAGCTTTTCAAAGAGCTTCTTCTTGGGGTTGAGCACCTCCTCAGGCTTGCCGTCCACCCTGGTGTGCGGGAAGGGAAGAGGCGGAGGGCGGGACAAGGGGAGGGGCCAGCGAGCAGACAGGAGGGAAGAGGTTAGGAGCGAAACGGGAGACAGATAGGAGGAAACGAGGCAAAGGGAAGGAGCAGAAGGAGAGAGAAACACTTGAGGTTTAAAGGAAGCCTTGCCAGCTCACAATCTACTCTGATTTCCGTTTCTCACTCCTTCCCCCGCTCCCTGCTTCCTTCCCCCCTCCCTCCTCTCCCTCACTCACTCCTCTGGTCCTTCCTGTGACAATTTCTAAAGGCCTCCCCTCATTGCTCGTCCTGAAAAGGTAAGTGCCTTCTCAATCGCTGGCCCCTCTCCTGGCTGAATCCAACCTTAGAATCTCTCTCCTCTCCTCTCCTCTCCTCCCCTCCCATCACCTCTCCACTCACCCCCCCTCCCCCTCTCATCCCCCCCCCCCCCCATTCGCATCCTCTCCCCTCCCCTCCCTTCCCATGTGTCCGCTCCTCACCCTGCAAACGTGATCTTCTCTCCAATCGCAGCCCCCTCTGGTGGCTGCACCGGGCGGCAAACCGAGTGGTCGGCGTTAGAAGCGCACAGGACCTGAGAGGCACAGGGAGGCGGAGAGGGGTGGGCTAGGTGACATGGAGAACGTGTTCTAAAGTGACCCAAGAGAGCGGAAAACTGAGTGGTCAGCGTTAGAAGCGCACAGGACCTGCAAAAGACAGGGAGGCGGGGAGGGTGAGAGTGCGGTGACAAGAATGAAAGTCGTGGTAAGAGACACCAATGGGCACGACTGGGCAGGCTACACGAACGTACCAAGCCTGCTGATACCACGTCCCTCACTTTCCCCGGCTTCACGTTTGTCAGCACAACCACGCGCATGCCCTGCACGCACGCACGCACGCACACACACGCACATACCAGGGAGAAAATAAGAGATGCAGTTCAATGCTTCGCATTTCCTGCTCTCACTTTCCCTTGGCTTCAGAACCACACCATGCCACTGCCGTATACACATGCACCAGAAGAGGATCGTTCCAGATTCAGGTTTTTGAGGGTTTTTGAGGGTTTTTGAGGGGTTTTAGGGTTTTTTAGGGTTAACCTCAAAAGCAGATTCAGGGTTACTCATACAGGGGAAGACAGGCCAGAGGGGAAATGGATTGAACACTGCCCTTCTCACCGCCATATCTTCCCTCTGGCACGTACCGTACTCTTCCAGCTCACTGACAACCGCCTTGAGCCACCTCACTGACAACCACAACCGCCTCACCATGCTTTGAGCCACCTCGAACCGCCCACCTTCTCACCACCCCATCTCCTCCAGGTCGTCGTCACTCATGGTCTTGGGAAGAGCAGCAGTGCAAAGTCAGTCGCTTGAGCAACAAGAACGAGAGTAAAAAAACCTTAGGCAAGAGATTTGCTTCGTAAAAACTCTTAACGCAAAATAACCAGGTCGCAAACATGTTTTGGCTTACGGGGATCAAACCCGCCGAGCCTTCATCAGTGCTACTGGACATAAGAGATCACGAGTCTAGGCATGAGCTAAGTAACAACCCACACCCTCGAAAAACAAATCTCAAGATTATCAACTACCCAGATTGCCTATCAATGGGCATTCGCCAACACAGCAGTGGGTAAAAACCCGAGGTTGCAGGTGTCAGACTTCAGGAGGGTCTTCTTCCGAACTGTCGATAAGCCTTGGTAACTTGGCTCGCACAAGTAACTTTTGAAGGTTACGTGCACACCTCCATGCAATGAAAATATTCCCCATATAAAATCCGCGTGAGCTGAGACGATTTTTGAGGCGCCTCAAAAATCGTCTCAACCGCCTCACCATGCTTTGAGCCACCTCGAACCGCCCACCTTCTCACCACCCCCTCTCCTCCACCTCACCCCCTCTCCTCCACCTCACCCCCTCTCCTCCACCTCACCCCCTCTCCTCCACCTGCACCTCACCCTCTCCTTAGTTGCACCATGGGCGTATGGTGGTATAAACGCCAGCGTATATACGCAATACCCTCGGTTTGGGACCTTGTATACGTTACGTATATGCTACTCCGGGCAGGCAAAAACAATTCCGGGCAGGGGCAAAAAAACACCGCGGAAAGGGGGAGGGGAAGAGGGGGATGTGGAGCAAACGTTTCCACTGCAACACAAACCAGAAAACGTAGACTTAGGCATAATAAATAAGTATTATGCCAAGCCTTCGGCGGCGTCACGCGGACTCAGGGGCGTCGCCATGGCTTAGCCTTAAAATATATGCGATTTCGAGCTTACTAAGTTCGAAAACGACCTAAAGGCCTTGGGGAATGGGGCTGGTAAAGGTAAGCTACGCTACATGCACTAAACTAGGTTTAGCGCACATAGCTGTGAGAGGAAGAGAGCAGTTTGGAGGGGTGGTTGGGTTGGGTAGAGACATTAGGGTGCAGTGCGGTGGAGGGGGGCGAAATGGTTGGAAGTTGGGATTGCTGCAAAATTTGGTGTGTCGCAAGTTCGCGACACCCTGTTTGGTTTCGCCTACTCGCGAATTGACGAGCAAAAAAATCCCGATTTTTTTTCCAGGCTGCCCTAGAAATTTCGGCCGAGCGTATGGCGTATATACGCTATACGCTCCCCAAATTTTGCGTATAGTGCAACTAAGACCCTCTCCTCCACCTCACCCTCTCCTCCACCTCACCCTCTCCTGCACCTCATCCTCTCCTGCACCTCACCCGCCCCCCTCCTCACCATCATCTCTTCCTCCATCACGAACTTGGCCAGCCCACTGACTTTTGAGTCGACTCAAAAAGCAGCCCACTGACCACCTTCTCTCCCCTGCTCACCACCGCCTCTTACTCCCACCCACCGCCCCTCGCACCACCACCACACCACCTCCCCCCCTGCTCACCACCATCTCTTACTCCCACTCACCACCCATCGCACCACCACCGCCTCCCCCCCATCTCACCCTTCCCCCCGCTCACCGTCATCTATTCCTCCATCACAAACTCGGCCAGCCCACTGACCACTTGTCGCTCTTTGCGTCAAGGGGCATCAATCCACCAACTGTCACCACTGTCGCTAGCTCCCACCCTCCAGCCATGGAACCACCACCTCCCCCCCATCTCACTCCCTCCCCCAACGCTCTCCATCATCCCCCCCCCTCCTCACCGTCATCTCTTCTTCAGTCACAAACTTGGCCAGCCCACTGACCACCTGCCGTGGATTCGCCTCGCCAATGTCAATCTCCTCCACATACAGCCTGTGGTGAACATGGGGGGCAATAATGAGCACATCGCTATCAGCTCCCTAACCACCTGCCGCGGATTCGCCTCGCCAATATCAATCTCCTCCACATACAGCCTGGGTCATACGAGGGGGATTATAAGGGCGACGGGTAGCGCCACGTCACCGCAACAACGGGAGGCTGTTGCTGCAGCCAGGAATTGAATGCCATCAAACACTTAGGTGCTTCCTCCCAGAGATGCTAACAGCAGGTGACTTCAGAGTCGACTCAAAAGCCACCTGAGTCACGAGCATAGATGTTTTCTCCCAGTCATCTTAACAGGCAGGAACATGGAATGTGCTGAAAGCGAGCATCAAAGAGTGGCAATCGGTCGTCATGGCAGGCGCATCAGGCTGGGAGCAGCGGACGCTTACACGTCTACATTGGGGTGCTTGCTTCCACACTTTCTTAATCTGCCCCACCCTGATGTCCAAGTGATAATAGCTTGAGTTCTTCTGAGACGTCTCAAAACGAAACAATTATCACACAGATGCAACAGAAGACGGCCGAGAGCAAAAATTGCTTACGCGTCCGCATTGGGGTGCTTTGACACCTTCTTGACCTGCCCCACTCTGATGTCCAATATCCCCACACTCACGTCCCCCCCTCCCTTCCCTCCTGCGCCCTCCCCTTCCTTCGCCTCACCCTTCTTCTCATCCCCTTTCCCCTTTCCTTTCCCCTTCCCCTCCTCCTTCCCGCTCCCCTTGTCTGCTGCAGCACCCTGATCCAAGGAGAGAGAGAGATCAGAAATAGGTGTGCATGGAAGTGAGAAATGGTGCGTCGGGAGAATACTTCGCACAAGAAACTCCCCCTCCTTTTGAATGAATGAAACATGCAAAGTCCATGCGTTCACTCCTTCACACATGCAGTGAGAGATTCTTGTAAATGCGTTGACAAGCAAGATCACATTGGATTCTCGGGATAACATCCTGATCGCGATCGCATTCGGTGCAGGGTTTTTCTTTTTGGCTTAGGGTTTACAGAAACGGATTGAGGGTGCCCTGAACACTCTGTGTTCCCGCATTTGGCGAACCCTAAATGCCTGCGCTGTTTTACATTGGGAATTTTCTTGCTGAAACCATGTGCTCTGCTACGATCAAAGCACTCTGTAACACCAAGCGTTCCTGACCTGCGGTGCTGCAGTGGTGGAAGGGGCAGCAGACGGAGCAGCCGCAGCCGAAGAAGCACCTCCTTCTGCTGACGCCTCTGCTGGCGCTGCTGCCTTCCCTGCTGCAGGTTTGGCACCTCCCGAACCTGATGCCTGGTTCGGCTGAGCTGGAGGTTTGGCAGGAGGGGGAACTGAAGCCTGGAGGGGGAAAGCTTACACCAGTCATCCCATGCAATGCCATCCCATGCCATACCAGCCACCCACATGCCATCCCAAGCCATCCCATGCCATGCCACCACATGCCATCCCATCCACGTAGTGCGATCCCATTTGACCATAGAACCATGAGAATGAGATGAAAGTGATGTGGCAAGGGTGAGTTGGCAGGAAAGGTAGTGGCGAGATGGGTGAGAGGCATCGGAACGGGAGAGGCACAAGCGCTCCAACGCAGCAGCAAGGCGAAGCGCCAACACAGGCTTTTGTCTGCGTGTGCACGTGTGTGTGTGTGTGTGTGTGTGTGTGTGTGTGTGTGTGTGTGTGTGTGTGTGTGTGTCTGCGTGTGCACTTGCAGGCAATTTCATCAGCTTCCATGACGGATGAAACTTGGCAGCATTGACAGTGATGTGAGAGTATGCCTAACCCCACATGCCCCGTGGTTGCTGAATGTGCGTTATATGCACGCAGATCTGTGTGCTCATGCACTCTATTCTGCACTCAGTTTTGAGGCGCCTCAAAACTAGACTCCTATCACTCCAGTCTGCACTCCAGTCTGCACTCCATTCGTCTCACCGGACGATCAAACTTGGCAGCATTCACTGAGATGTGCGAGAACGCCCGCCCCACATACCCCTTGGTTACCCTGTGTGCAATATTGCTGTGTGTGGCTGTCTATGTAGTCAGCTGTACTCACCGGAGGATCAAACTTGGCAGTATTGACTGTGATGTGCGAGAACGCCTGCCCCACGTGCCCTCTGTTCTGCACGAGGTCTATCCACCGCATCAGATGGGGTAACTCCTCCCTGTCGCACGGCGTCACTAGCAGCTGCGAGGGAGGCAGAGGCACGCAGGTTGGTGGGAGAGGGAACAGACAGGGCGGACAGGCATATCGTGCTGCTGCTTATTGCACTCTTCCCCTGTTCTGCACCACTTCTATCCACCGCATGACATGTGGCAGCTCCTCCCTGTCACGCGGCGTCACTAGCAGCGGCGAGGGAGGGAGCTGCTTATTGCACCTTTCCCTCTGGGTGCCAGAGGGAAAACCCAGGGGGAGGAGTTGCAGAGGGGAAACCTGGGGGGAGTGAGTTCGTGTGGTTGGGCGAGCGTGAAACAGGGGAGTGGTGGTTCCTCTAAATAGCCCTAGCTAGGCACTAAGCACCTCCGCCAAAAAGAAAAAGGGCACCTGCCCATGCCCATGCCACAACACAAATTGCTGCCTGAACCCACCACGTCATCATGAACCACCACGTCATCATGAACCCACCACGTCATCATGAACAGCGCCAAAGACTGCGAGATCGGCCAATGTGATCGCGACACCTGGCCCCACGAGCACGGAGCGGGGAGCCAGGTAGGCGTTCAGGGCGCGCAGGCGAGGGAGAGGGTCCAGCACTGCAGCTGACGTGGATGCTGACGGGCACGCTGACGTGGCAAGGGAGGGCAGGGAGCCCACTACCCAGGGATGGCGAAGCCACTGAGTTACCTGTTGGGGTTAATGGACGGGAAAGGGGGTGGAAACGGGATGGAGGAAGGGTGGAAGGGGAGGGGGAAGGAGAGGAAGAGTAAGATGAAGAGTGCAGAGAAAGGGTGGCATCATATTTCCCCCGTTCTCCCCCCCCTCTCCCCCCCCCCAACCCCCCCATTTCCTCCCATTCACAAGGCACGTCGTCCCTCCCATACCCTCTGCCGTCCATACCCGCCCCAGCTTCTCCCTCCACCTCACTTTTGAGTCGACTCAAAACTAACTGACTAACTAACTGACTTTTGACATGGCACCTAACTGGTGTTCCATCGGACTGCCGTCCATACCAGCCCCAGCTTCTCCCTCCACCTCACTCACCCTCCTCCCTCCCACTCCCCATTTCCCAACCTCCCCTTACTCCCCCACCCCCCATCCCATGTCCCCACCTCCCCTCCCCCACCCCCGTCTCCCCACCCACCTCCCCTTCCTCCCCCACTCCACCCGCCATGCTCCCCGGACCCTCTTCCTCCTAAGCGGCTGAGCGCCAAATCTCCTCCTCCCATCGCTTTCCCCGCTGCAATGCCGTCCAAGTGACTGTCTGTCCGAACCAGACAGTCCCTGCCTTCCCCTCCCCTCAATCCACTTCCGGTTCACTTTCCACTTGAGAGTTCTAAAAAAAGGCTCCACCTTCCACTTGGGCACAGGAAACGGAATCCTCAGCTGACTTCAGCATCCCCCCTCTCTCGCCCTCCTTCGCACAACCCTCACCGTGGCGCAGCGCACGCCCCCAATCCACCGGCTCGACTCGGCGCGTGCCGCGCCATCCCTCCCCAGCAGCGCACTGGCGGCATCCCCCCCTCTCTCCCCCCCCCCCCCCCCCCCCTTATCACGCAACCCTCACCTTGACATGCGGACGCCAGCAATCCACCCGCTCACCTCAGCGCGTGCGGCGCCATCCCTCCCCAGCAGCGCATTGGCGGCATCTCCTCCCGCCGCCAGGGCCAGAGCCGCCCATACGGCTGTAGCGCCCGCTACAGTCTGCTTGCTGGCCGCGCTGGCGAGAGAGGGGGCGGACTGCAGGCGACACAAGGGGGCGGGAGGGGAGAAAATGGGAAAGCGGGGAAAGAGGAACGGGGGAAAGGGGGAGAAGGGAGCGGGGAAAGGGGGAAAAGGGAGCGGGGAAAGGGGGAGAAGGGAGCGGGGAAAGGGGGAAAAGGGAGCGGGGAAAGGGGAAAAGGGAGCGGGGAAAGGGGGAAAAGGGAGCGGGGAAAGGGGGAAAAGGGAGCGGGGAAAGGGGGAAAAGGGAGCGGGGAAAGGGGGAAAAGGGAGCGGGGAAAGGGGGAAAAGGGAGCGGGGAAAGGGGGGAATGGGGAAAATGACCTGTAGCTGCAACCAGTCTCCTTGGGGCCTGTGCTCGCGAGACAAGGGGCGGACTGCAGCTCAAGGGGTTAAAGGGGCACGAAGGAAGCGTGGGGCTATGGGCGACCTATTCACTGTGTCCTAAAACGGCTGACGCGTAGCGTAGGTGAGCGCGCTGATATTTCTCCCATGAACACCTGGGAGGCTGCACTATGATTCTCAAGTCGACCGTATAAAGTCACCTGGGCAGATTCCAAAACCCTGGACCTCTTTCGCATGTGGCCGTATCCCCGACGGGAAACTGCGAAATGGATCAGGCGGAAACGCGGCATTTCGTTTCTCACCCAATGGGCGAACCAGTGCTCCGCTGCATCGACACGGCCTAGATCAGCACCTGCAGGCCTGCACCGGCTGGCTGTGGTCAGCTGCGCGGCTCGCAAACCCGATCAGCTAACTAAACCGCGAATCAGAACAACGTTTTTTTTAGATTAGCGAAGCCGGGAATGAGATGTGATCTGCGGGAATACCTGGTCAGCTGCGGCCTGCACGACGTCCACTGCGAGCCCGCCACGTGTCTTGCACCAGTTGGCCACGACTATCGCTGTTCTCGACGCTGCGTCTATCCCCGCCGTGAGAGTCACTGCAGCGGCGCCTTGCGACTGATCGGTGGATCCGCCGGCCCACGACGGCTCAGACGGAATCCCCATTGGAGGTGGGTTTCGTAGGGCTGTGACGACTAAAAGCCTGCTGTTAGATTTACCCAGGTCGATCCTAGGAAAGGGAGGAACCAAGTGTGAGTGCAGAGGGGTAGAGCGACAGGCGTGAAGCAAAGACGAGTAAAAGGTGGAAGCTTTTCTCGTCACAATGAGGTCCGTTTCGACCTACTAGATAGAATGTATGTTGCGGCTAATGTGGAAGAAAATTTGTGAGGTGTACCTCGTGAAAACAGTAAACAACCAGACTCTCTCGGGAATGCTTTTGGTGTCTTACAGGGAGAAATTTTGACGGCCACGACGCCCGTGATTCCCGCAACCTGACAGCGGGCGTAGCACTTCCGAATCCCGCGGCTCATAGCGTTTCACTGCTCCACTGCCTGCCAAGGGAATGCCCCCGGCCGAGCCGCCTAGAGGAATTCCCAAGGCAAGGTGGGGCAGCGGCGAAACGACCCCCAGGCCAGGCGGGCCAGGCGTCATTCCCCATGACTGTCACTGCAGCGGGTCGAATTGTCGAATTGATCCGCGAGTCGCGATATTTCCAGGACATGCGAGTGTTGTCGCTCGCCAACTTGTTCTCAGCGACTGATTTCTGTCCGTCCGATCAACCAGCTCGTTCTTATCGATGGCTTAGCGAAAACCGATCTATCCATCCACCGCCGTTGATGACCACGACTTTGCACGCTGCTCAGCAGCTTTCATCAGCTGCGGATGGGTCCAGCCAGCAAATCCGATCTCGAGGCACCGGGATCTGCCATTTGCAGGAATTCTCCACTGCTTGGCGCGCAGCGGCGCTTATTACGAGACCTGTCACCCCGCAGCCTTCGTACGAACAGCGTTAGTCACACAATTTCCCGTGCGAATCCGTTCCGCGTATGGTGGCAGCAGTGCCGCGGTGTTCCCAGGGGTCGAGCAGAGCAATCGTGAGCTCTCGCGTCCCGGAATGGGCCAAACCGACCTTCGCTGGAAGCCTCAGGCCGAGGCTCTCCGGAACGCCTGCAATCCTGCTTTAGTAAAAGCACAGCCAGACGTCCGGCGAAATTTCCCAGGCTCTGGGGTCGACTTGCAGCGAGTCTTCGGCCTCCTGTGGGGCAAAGGCTTAAAGATGACGCACGCAGAGGGCAAGCATCGGAAGACGGGCATTTCGTCCATGAGAAAGGAAGCAGGGATTAAGGAAGCAGGGAGTAAGGTACTTTCGTTCCTGCAAGATCGTCAGACTTGGTCTCGGAGACACCTTCCACAGACTCTTAATCGCGTGATGGCTTCTGTGGGCGACGGGAATCTGGAATTCGAGGACCCGTATCTATCCCTCCCCTCGTTCGGATGCTTCTTTACCGAACCTGTAGCAGCCATAGCAGAATATGCCAGCCCTCCACCGCCTGCAGGCGAGAATCATGAGAGGGAGAAGGTTGAGAGGGAGACGCCAGAGAGAGAGAAGCCAGAGAGGGAGCAGAAAGAGAGGGACAGTAGATCGTCCATGTCCAACAAGAAGAGCCGGCTGCGACACCAGTCAGCCATTCTGCAGCGACGAGGTGGGTGGATGCACTTTCACTGTCGCCGCCATTCTTCTCCACGTTCGTGTCCTCTCGTCCTCTTAGGAAAAAACCCTATGAGCTTCTGTGCTGCTTTATCCAACCGCCATGACCCATTGGGACCGTTGAGATGAGATGTTAATCAATATCTACCCTTGATCTCTCTACTGTTGGTCCCTTTCCTACTTTCTTTCTGCCAGGCCGCAATGCTGAATCTGCCCGAGACCTGCTTCCCCCTGGCGCTGGTGCTGCCACTCAAAGCGGCGCTCCTACTGCTGCTGCTGCTGCGCAAGGGAGTGAGGGGAAAGCGGCGACCAGGCAACGAGGCAGCGGTGTGGCCGGACAAAGAAGCTCCATCTACCGTGGAGTGACCAGGTCGGGTCTCGGTCAATACCGCCTGATGCCCCCTAGACCAGATTCCCAGTTTCACTAGGTCTCCGCTTAGGTCCCTAGGTCCCTAGGCCTGGTGCCCCCTAGGCTTGTTTCTTCACCCGAGACTGTTGTTTATCTGTTGCCCTGCAGGCACTGCTGGAGGTGTATTTTGAGAATCCTCAAAATATGTCTCGGTTCGGCTCTTCGCCCAAGAGAGTGCTGTTTCCATTGCCCTGCAGGCACCGCTGGACTGGCCGCTACGAGGCGCATCTGTGGGATAACTCGTGCCCCAAGGAGGGCACCAACAAGAGGGGCCGGCAAGGTGGATTCCTCCGTTTCAAAACCCACCCTCGTTTGTTCCTTCATGTGCTTGTGCTTTTCCTCACGATTGCCTATCTGTACATGCCGGATTACTGCTTGCGATCTCTTGCAAATTGACTGACTGTCCCTTTGTTCCGTGGACTTCCGGCTGCCTACTTTTGATCTGCAGTTTACCTCGGTGAGCACGCTTATGCTGCACAGTTTTGTCCAGTACTGCCTCTCTTTGTAGGAGAATCGTGGCGTGACTCAGCTCGCCTTGCTGGGACTTGGAATCGCAGGAGGGTATGACGACGAGGAGAGCGCTGCCAGAGCATACGACCTTGCTGCACTCAAGTACTGGGGCCCAACTGCTGCCATCAACTTCCCTGTATGTGGCAGGCATGGTTTGGCTGTATTTTTTTATTTGTTCGCTCGTGAGTTTTCATGTAGCCTTTCCTTTTCAATCCTCTCCTCTCCTCCGTAGCCTTTCTTCACTCCCTCCTCCTCTCCTCTCTCCCCCCCACTCCCACTTGCCTTGGTTTGCATGCTTTCCTGCCTTACTCGCGTTCTTCCTGTTGTTCCTCCCAGGTTGAGAACTATGAGAGGGAGTTGAGGGAGATGGAAGTGATCTCCAAGTATGAGTATGTGGCTTCCATTCGAAGGTATGATCCTAGTTCCACGCACTTCCTCCCAAGCATTCTTGTCCTGACCAGTTAAAAGCAGCACTGGATTCACCTCAACGACCCACGGGGAAGGCTGTTTTCGCGTTTCCATGTTTTCGCGCTTTCGCATCTCCTCGTTCTTGATGTCAGAATCGCGAGTCCTTTAACATGTATTGCCATGTAATCCTGACCATGTTTTACTTGGGCTGGCAGGAAGAGCTGTGGGTTCTCTCGAGGGGCATCCAAGTACCGAGGTGTGACAAGGTAGGCACTAGAAATTGAGAGTGTGGATGGAGGCCACTGTAACCACCCTGATTTTGATCGGATCTGAGCTCATGTCACTCCTCCTCCTCATGCTCCGACTGCAGGCATCACCAGCATGGGCGGTGGGAAGCCCGCATAGGGAGAGTGATGGGCAACAAGTACCTCTACTTAGGCACTTTCGGTAAGTGGTTTGTGGTGGGTAAATGCGGTGTGTGGCTCTGGGTCGGAGCTTTGTGCTGCAGTTGAGCCATGGGAAAGAAGCACGCATAGGGAGGGTGATGGGCAACAAGTACCTCTACTTGGGGACTTTTGGTGAGCGGTGTGTGGTGGGTGTTAGCGGTGTGTGGCTCTGGTGAAGCGGTTTCTGATGCGAGTGAGTGGTGGGAGGCAAGGAAAGGGCGAGTGTTGGGGAAATAAATGTCTGTACCTGGAAACTTGGTGAGCGGAGTTCGATGTGCGTAAGCAGTGTGTGCCTCTGGATCAGCGGTTTGTGATGCAGTTGACGGATTGGAGGCAAGGATAGGGAGAGTGTTGAGAAAAAAAAAAAAAAAAAAGCCTCTTGCTGGGGACTTGTGGTGAGTGATGGGAGGCGAGGATAGGGAGAGTGATGGGCAACTTCTACCTCGACCTGCTCCATGTGCTGGTTATGCTAATGATTGTGAGTGTTGGGTGCAGCCACTCAGGAGGAGGCAGCAGAGGCGTATGACATAGCCGCTGTCAAGTATCGAGGACTGAATGCGGTTACCAACTTCGACCTGAGCCGATACATAGACGGTCTGAGCTCGCAAGACGACGGCCCTCAAAGAACTGAGGTAAATCTGGAAGAGATCATTATTCGTTCTTATATACCCGCGACCTTACTGTGCATAACAACTTGAAAATGAATGTTTTCCGCTTTTGCAGGAACCAGTGAAGCTGGATTCCGCGCTGGAGCCCACGATTTCGGATCCAGTTCCCCAATTCCTCTCATTCCAAAGTGACCATACCACTGGTTGCTACACTCAAGCAGCATCAATTGACCTCAGCGCTCCATTGCAGCTGCATTCAACGCACATCTTATCAGCAGGAGAGCCGAACATGGTACGTTTGCCGGATGGAGGGGATTTTTGCATGTTTCGAATGATGTGCACATGGTCTATGCATGCGCCATGACTAACGATGAGGTTTTTGTGCATGCGTCGTCAGATGCCCTTGTATTGTCAGCACAGCATCGAAGTGGACCAGCAACAAGACGCGAGGCTGCTCCCAAGCTTTGCTGCATGGTATGACGACCTGGGCTTCGATGTTGGCTAAAAGAAACTGCCATTTGAGTTTTGGGCATAGTATGTGTTGGAAATATCTCAAGGACTTAAGCGTTTCTGAAGTGTAACACTGTACTCGAGGAAGATTACAGGGGAGCACGCGAGTCAACGGAGGTTACACGAGGGGGCGGACAAAGAATGCGAAAGGACTCGAAAGGTCGCAACTGGAGGTTGCGACTGACCGTTACAACATCACGGATGGTAACCGAAGCGGCAATCGAGTCGCTGTGCGACTCGATAAACCGTTCCTGTAACTGTATTCTACAACTGCTTTCTTATCTTCTATATATTGCTGTATGCTTGTTTCTTTAATCAATCACTTGTTCTCACATACTAGTACAAGGGTTCAACTGTCTCAATTTCCGCTGCACTACTCCAAGTCTCAAGTCTCTACAAGCTGGGACTTAGTCTCTGCAAAAGATCCTAAGGGCTTTTCTCAGCCCAACATGGTATGAGAGCTGGTCAGAGACCAAACTCCCAGCAACTACGCTCCATCAACGACCTGCAACTCAACTTGATTCAACAACTCCATTGATTACAAGACATGGACAACAAGGGCAAGAAAGTCTCTACGGGCTCACCCAGCGCCCAAGAAACTCAACACGGCAACTCTGGTCTGCACACCTCAGGACTGCAGACAGAGACCGGGACTACTCAAGAAACAACGGGAAGAGTACCAGAGATGGTGACTCCGTCTCCCTCTTCAAGTGTGGACCCGAATCTCATGGAGAGATTCTTCAGCTTCATGTCACACTTCGACCAGCAGCAGCAGACAAGGACACCTGCGCACTCAACACAGAGCAATGGAGGGAATATGGGATTAGCGCCGATGAGCCTCGACAACTCATCCTTCGGGCGACACAACCAAGCGCCTACCTTTGCGCCTTATCATTCTTCGCCGGGGACGTTCGAATTCATGCCGCCCCGTGCCCAGCCAACAGCAGCTGCATCACAACAAACACCGAATGAAATCTTAAGTTTACAGGCGCAGTTCTCACACGTGATCAAACTTCAGACATCCTCACCGTTCAACGGACACGACTTCTTTACCTGGAGCTTCGAGTTCGAGCTGCTGATGGAGGCCGCGCATCTTCTGGGATACTTCAACGGGTCCCTGCCATTCCCAAGCAACGGCACTGGGAAGGAACAAGAGATCTTCACGTATCAGTCGCTGCTGGCGTACACGGTACTCCTGAGAAACCTGTCACCACAAGAGCAGCAGAGCATCAGAACGTATCGGAGTTATGGAAACTCCGCGGAGCTCGCATGGCACCACCTCAAGTGCCTTTACCAAGCAAACGACAGCGTGACACAAAGCAGACTCATGCAACAGCTGACAACAATACAGATGAAGACCGGGGAAAAGGCGATGCAGTATATGAGTCGCTGCCAGACCCTCCGCGACCGCCTGCTTCGGTGCGGAGGAACGATCACTGAAGAAAGCTTCGTAACACTTGTCCTCGCCGGGCTCGGGCCAGAATGGAGAACCACACGATCACTTCTTCGAGCCCACGGAAGAATTTCGGAGATGCACCTCTGCGCCGAGCTTCACGCTGAACAACAGGAGATGGATCTGTTCGAGGAAAGACAACCAAGGAAGCAACAGCAGTTAGTCTTCTACACTCAAAGAAGAAATGACAACAACTACAACCGACGCAGCAAGCAAGATCAACGCGACAACCGAGGACTCACCATCGTGCCGCCGTTCTGCCACAACTGTCAGACTTCCGGGCACTCCAAGGTCAACTGCAACCGCCCTCGCGTTTACCGTGCAGCAGACCCACAAGTCGCTTCCACTCAAGCAAGTCCTCCAAGGCGCTCTTCAACATCTGCACAACAAACACCCAACATCATCAACTGCATGGTACACATCGACAACTGCGCACCCGCTTCACCACCCACTTACGCACCAGACGAAGAGGAATTCCCGCCGCCGCGCTCGCAAGGACTTCAGGTCAACCCGACATACGCTGCAGTCGCTAACGCCGAACCCACCGGGCGGAACACCTGGTTCTTGGACAGTTGCTGCGGTCAGCACATGTGCTCCTCCGGACGCTTCGTACAACACGAGCGACGCCTCAACCGCGACGTCGTCATCACCGTCGCCAACAACGAAAACCTGAAAACAAACAGACAAGGCGTGGTTCAGTTACAATCAATGGAGACAAACGTTATTCTTCAGCTCAACAAAGTCCTCATCGTCGACAATCTGGGATACAACCTACTAAGCGTAAGCCAACTAATGGCTAAGGGGATTCACCTGGAGTGCGACTCCTTCTCCAACGAGTTCCGACTTTACCACGGGAAGGGCGGCCTCTTCATCGGTCGTGCCCTCCTGAAGTCCGGTGTCTTCGTGTTGGACTTCGTCCCCGACCGCGGAACTGCCGACAGCGATGGCATCGTATCGTTCGCCGCCTGGACTCACCCGCCGGATCTTGATCCCGACTTCGACAGTGACGGCTTCTGGCACTCCAACACCATACCTGCAGCAGAGAGAACACGAGCATTAGCAGTTATCAGACAAGAAAGACAAGTACCCGCAAGTGTCCCAACAAAACCATCACCTGCAGTATCGGCAGCAGGACCCAGCCGAGTACCACCACCATCAACACGAGGACCGCCAACGGAAGCAGACCAACTTATGCCCGCCACACGAGAAGCTTGTCGAAGTCCCGCCTCGGTCGTCGCGTTCTTCTCCAACGCCGACATCTACCACCGCTCGCCCGGTCACCGTGCTCCCGACGACATCTGGCACCAACGCCTCGGACACCCTGCAAACAGCACAATACTTCAAACAATCCAAGCAGAGGTGTTAGAACGTAACGCCCTTCTAACGACGAGCGGCCAAGAACTTCGCCGACCAAGAGCACGATGCTTCACGTGCCCCGAAGCAGATCTTCCTCATCAACCCTTCCCATCCCATCATAATCCAAGCGCGCCTGCATATGCAACGATGGAAAAAGTCTACAGCGACATCTTGAACATGCCTCGAGACGACACGGAAGCCGACTTCAACTACGTCATCACCTTCGTCGATGCAGCAACAAGATACACTTGGCATTACAACCTCAAGACGCGCGATCAAGCCTTCGACGCCTTCACAACATGGCTCCCCATCGCCGAGCGGGAATCAGGAACCAAGCTCAAAAGCTTCCAGTCAGACGGTGCCCTAGAATACCAGTCACAACGCTTCAGGACCTATCTGGCGGAAAGAGGAATCAAGCGCCTGGTGTCCCTACCATACGCTCACCAGCAGCAGGGGGTCGCCGAACGCATGAACCGGACCTTGCAGACGACGATGCGAAAGCTGCTCCTGGGGATGAGACTGCCCAATACACTGTGGCCAGACGCGATGACACATGCAGTCCACCTGCACAACCTGTTGTCCTCGTCATCGCTCCCCAACAACGCATCACCGCACCTGCTGTGGACGGGAAAAAGGGGCAGCACAAAATTACTTCGAGTTTTCGGCTGCATGATACAATACAGACCCCACACAGCTCGAGCAGGACGCTTCACTCAACGAGCTCGGTGGGGACTACACCTCGGCATCGCCAAACATTTTCACGCGTGGAAGATTCTCGACATACACGACAAAAATACGGTGGCATCACGTGATGTTATCTTCTACGAGCGACTGACGCTGCAGCATTACCTGGACAACATTGCCAACTCAGACGACCCCACCGACGGCTTCGCGGGCCTTCGCTCCTTCGCTGACCATGCTGCCGAAGCTGACGCAGCAGAAGAAGACGTCCCTGGAGCCTCGGAGGCTGCCGGACCACTCCCCTACTGCTCCGTACCTGTTCCACTCGATGAAGATAATCCCCTCGATAGCAACAACCTCGACACCTTTTACCACTTCGCTGACCAAGGCTACGCTACACCACACCCCGTCGACTCGAATATTTCCGAACGCATCGGGCCAAACTTCTTACCCGATCCTGAAGACGGTGATGAAGCAGCTTATCCCGAGAATGAAAACTCCCCTCGACACACAGCCACGGGACTGCAGATCCTAGGACTATGGGTCTCCGTCCAGCACCCGCCGCCGCCTTCTCCGCGCGAGCCGTCGACCCTGTCGCAGGCTCTGGGGGGGGAACATAAGGCACAATGGAAGGAAGCGATGGAAAAAGAGTTAAAAGCTCTGCAAGACCGAGAAACATGGAAACTGGTACCTGCAACGAGCATCAACGGGAAGAACATTCTCTCGGGGAAATGGGTGTACCGCATCAAGACCAACTCAGACGGCTCCATCGAACGATTCAAAGCTCGATGGGTCGTACGAGGCTTCGATCAACGATACGGAACCGACTACACAGAAACCTTCGCTCCAGTCTCCCGTCACACCTCCCTGCGCATCCTACTCGCCATCGCGGCCACGAAGAAACTACCACTACGGCAAATCGACGTTGCAAACGCCTTCTTGTACGCACCTGTGGACGCCGAAATCTTCGTCGAACAACCCCACGGATTCATCGACGACCCTTCAAAAGTATGCCAGCTGGAAAAATCCCTTTACGGGATCAAGCAAGCCCCACGGCTCTGGCAGCAGCACCTTCACGGCCGGCTCGTAAAAATCGGATTCCTACAGTTACCACATGACCAAGGCATGTACCGACTACAGAAGGGAAGAGATTACATTCTGCTCATCGTCTACGTCGACGACCTGCTCTACATCGGTTCTACCACCGACATCGTCACCTGGTTCGAAGGGGAGCTGAAAAGGGACCTAACGCTCACGGTGTCCGACGAGGTGACGCAGTACCTAGGACTGAACGTCGTCGAAGACGACACGGCGTTCTACCTACACGCTGGAAAGTACTCAAGCACCGTCGCGAAGAAATTCGGTCTAACACCGACTGCGGTCCCAACTCCCTACCGCTACGGGAACAACAGTAGCGCCTCCACAAAACTCCCCGCGAAACAAATCCAGGAGTATCAACAGAAGCTCGGCTGCCTACTATTCGCAACAGTAACCTGCCGACCCGACCTATCCTATAGTGCGAGTCAGCTGGCGACACATCTGAAGCAGCCGCAACAGGAAGATCTCGAAGAACTCAATCGAGCGCTACTCTACTTCGTCTCCACGCCGACGATCGGGCTCACCTACAGCAAGGCAACAACACCGTCCGTACGACTACTCGGATACGTCGACGCCGACCACGCGGGAGACAGCGAAAATCGACGGTCTAGGACGGGCTACATCTACCGACTAGAACCTATCGGAACTATCTCCTGGCAGTCGAGCAAGCAGGAGTTAATCGCACTATCCTCGGCTGAAGCAGAGTATATCGCCCTTTGTACTGCGACCAAGGAAGGACTCTACCTACGAGAGTTACTCGAAGAAGCGAAGATCGCGACCCTGCCCACCTTCTCACTCCTCTGCGACAACCAATCTGCGATAAAAATCGCGAACAAGGACGGCTTCGCCAACCGAACCAAGCACATCGCCCTGCGGTACTTCTTCGTCAAGGATGAAATCGCGAAGGGGAGACTTCAACTCAGTTACTGCCCGACGACAGAAATGGCCGCAGATTATCTGACGAAGAAATTGGCGAAAGCAAAATTTGACTACTGCATGCTCCTAACCGGGCAAACAAACGTCACCGGATCTGAACACTCCAGCACTCCAGAAACGAAGGGGAGTGTTGGAAATATCTCAAGGACTTAAGCGTTTCTGAAGTGTAACACTGTACTCGAGGAAGATTACAGGGGAGCACGCGAGTCAACGGAGGTTACACGAGGGGGCGGACAAAGAATGCGAAAGGACTCGAAAGGTCGCAACTGGAGGTTGCGACTGACCGTTACAACATCACGGATGGTAACCGAAGCGGCAATCGAGTCGCTGTGCGACTCGATAAACCGTTCCTGTAACTGTATTCTACAACTGCTTTCTTATCTTCTATATATTGCTGTATGCTTGTTTCTTTAATCAATCACTTGTTCTCACATACTAGTACAAGGGTTCAACTGTCTCAATTTCCGCTGCACTACTCCAAGTCTCAAGTCTCTACAAGCTGGGACTTAGTCTCTGCAAAAGATCCTAAGGGCTTTTCTCAGCCCAACAGCATGGATGCCAATGGAAACGAAACGAAACCTATTAGTTGTTTTGGATCTTTCTATATATAGTTGAGAGTTCGGATATGGATTGTACAGGATGATTGAGTCGAAAGTGGGAAGAAATGTACATTGCATGTTCCATTTCATATTGAAATGGCATTTCTATCACTACTATCAGTCAGCACGACGTGCAAACGCTGGCGTTGTTTCACCGTATTAACGAGACCGTTAATATGCGACCGCTAACAGCGACCACCTTCCCCGCCTCAAGCTGCTGGAAACACCTCGCACCGCGTCGGGCTGCCAGTTGCCCCACGAGTAATTCGCCCCTGCTGCCAGAATGTCGGCGTTTCTTGATTTGCTGAAGCAACGGGGCTGCTAAAATTCTTCTTATCAATAACTATCAATTCTTCTTCTTATTAAAAGGACAAGAAACCCTCTATTCCTCTCCCAGCCCCGGAGATAGAGCAGTAAACTTTCCTTCGGCTTGGTAATTCGCCTCCGTTTCCGCTACACGTTAGCCGTCTAAGCGGGGCCATGGAACCGCCGTCCAGCCAGAGTGCCGACCCGCGCCATTCGCGAGCAGACGTCGTAGATGGCGCGATCGACGCAGCGCAAGCGCGAGACGACCAGATTGAAATCGCGGAAACCCCGCCGCATCCAGCGGCGGCGGAATTAGCGGAGGAGGAGGAGGAGGAGGATGGGAGCGAGTTCCTGGAGCGCGCGCGGAGCTACGAGGAGGCGGCGGACGAGCGCGCGTACGAGCCGGAGGAGCAGATCGACGTGTCGCGCTACAGCCTGCCGCTGCAGACGGCGGACGACAAGCCTGGTGAGCGCTACAACCCGCCCTTGCTGCAGACGGCAGACGGCAAGGCGGGTGAGGGAATGGATGATTGACACCGGTCGACTCAAATGACACTGGTTCGTACGCGATAGACGGGACGACGAGCATGTTGGAAGGGGGCACTGAGATGGCCCAGAGGGGTCCCCCTGAAGGGCTACAGGTGTCGTCCTGGAGGGGTGTGGGTGCGCTGACCCACCATACAAACACGCCCTTTTATCCCAGTTGGTTAGCGAACTGGAGCTATCCCTTCAGAGCTGTGATACGAGCTGTTCAGATTCCAAGTGACTTATAAGCCGAACGGTTCCAACTATCATATAATTTGCTACTGTAGCCTCACATTTAGCAGATTTTGCGAAAGCTCAGAATGCTACTGGAGAGGTTTGCCCTGAGGAATTTACCCGGCCTCCACATGCTCGCCCTCCTGTGTACCCGTTACATTGCAACGTAACAACCGTTGCACCCCGTTGCAGACGGCTTCCGATTCTCGTGGCGGCGGTTCTGTCTGTTTGTGGGCCCGGGGTTCCTCATGAGCATCGCCTACCTGGACCCCGGCAACCTCGAGAGCGACCTGCAGGTGCGGCCCGCATTGTGTGCATGCGACTGCAGGTGAGGGTGAGGGTGAAGGTGAGGGTGACAGCAAAGGACGCAGCACGAGCATCGCCTACCTGGACCCGGGCAACCTCGAGAGCGACCTGCAGGTGCGGCCCACACTAGATAGCATCATAGCAGCATGTATTGGTACAGAATACTATTTTTGAAGCGCCTCAAAAGGCGGGCGACCTGCAGGTGCGGGTGGGGCCCGCACTAGAACACTAGATACCATCATAGCAGCATGTATTGGCAAGGGGAACGTGAAAGGCAGCATGCGCATAGCCTACCTGGCCCCGGGCAACCTAGAAAGCGACCTGCAGGTGAATCTCGTGGGCGACAGTGAAGATGACCGTGGGGGAGATTGAGTGATCACCTAGATGACCGTGGGGGAGATTGTGAGGGTGGGGTGACGGTTGGGGTGGGTTAGGTGGAGTGGGGTGGGGTGGGGTGGGTTGACAGTTGGGTCGACTGTTTGGGAGTGAGAGTGGGAGTGAGGGTGGAACATGAAGGCGATAAGGGAAAGGGAGGGAGAAGGGTGAAGGGACGGTTTCGCAGCAACCTGTAGAACATCCCCTTCGCCCTTCTCCCTTGCCTATATCGCCCTTCACCATTCCTCCCTATGCCTCTTTTAACTCTTTCTTTTCCCCCCTATTTAAACTCCCCTTTAAGTCTCCCGTGCTGCTTTTCAACCCCCCGAGCTTTTGAGTCGACCTAAAAGCTTTTCAAACCCCCGTGCTTTTGAGTCGACTCAAAAGCTTTTCAAACCCCCGTGCTCTGCAGCAGTCTTCCGTCATCTCCCCATCGCCTCCCCTCTGCTCCTGGGAAACTCCCAAACGGTGTTTCTCCTGCTTTAAATAGCCGCTTTCCTTGGGCCACCTCTTGATTCAGGAGTTCTTGTTTTGGCTTCTTGAATCCAGGCGGAAGCAGAGGCACTAGTGAAGTGTTCCCTATTGTTCAATCAATGTTCACAAGCACTAACTTGCAGTGCAATGTTCACAAGCACTAACTTGCAGTGCAATGTTCACAAGCACTAACTTGCAGTGCAATGTTCACAAGCACTAACTTGCAGTGCAATGTTCACAAGCACCAACTTGCAGTGCAATGTTCACAAGCACTAACTTGCAGTGCAATGTTCACAAGCACTAACTTGCAGTGCAATGTTCACAAGCACCAACTTGCAGTGCAATGTTCACAAGCACCAACTTGCAGTGCAATGTTCACAAGCACTAACTTGCAGTGCAATGTTCACAAGCACCAACTTGCAGTGCAATGTTCACAAGCACTAACTTGCAGTGCAATGTTCACAAGCACTAACTTGCAGTGCAATGTTCACAAGCACTAACTTGCAGTGCAATGTTCACAAGCACTAACTTGCAGTGCAATGTTCACAAGCACTGACTTGCAGTGCAATGTTCACAAGCACTAACTTGCAGTGCAATGTTCACAAGCACTAACTTGCAGTGCAATGTTCACAAGCACTAACTTGCAGTGCAATGTTCACAAGCACTAACTTGCAGTGCAATGTTCACAAGCACTGACTTGCAGTGCAATGTTCACAAGCACTAACTTGCAGTGCAATGTTCACAAGCACCAACTTGCAGTGCAATGTTCACAAGCACCAACTTGCAGTGCAATGTTCACAAGCACAACTTGCAGTGCAATGTTCACAAGCACAACTTGCAGTGCAATGTTCACAAGCACTAACTTGCAGTGCAATGTTCACAAGCACTAACTTGCAGTGCAATGTTCACAAGCACTAACTTGCAGTGCAATGTTCACAAGCACTAACTTGCAGTGCAATGTTCACAAGCACTAACTTGCAGTGCAATGTTCACAAGCACTAACTTGCAGTGCAATGTTCACAAGCACTAACTTGCAGTGCAATGTTCACAAGCACTAACTTGCAGTGCAATGTTCACAAGCACTAACTTGCAGTGCAATGTTCACAAGCACTAACTTGCAGTGCAATGTTCACAAGCACTGACTTGCAGTGCAATGTTCACAAGCACTAACTTGCAGTGCAATGTTCACAAGCACTAACTTGCAGTGCAATGTTCACAAGCACCAACTTGCAGTGCAATGTTCACAAGCACTAACTTGCAGTGCAATGTTCACAAGACAACTTGAGTATTCACAACCTTGCAGTGCAATGTTCACAAGCACTAACTTGCAGTGCAATGTTCACAAGCACTAACTTGCAGTGCAATGTTCACAAGCACTAACTTGCAGTGCAATGTTCACAAGCACTAACTTGCAGTGCAATGTTCACAAGCACTAACTTGCAGTGCAATGTTCACAAGCACTAACTTGCAGTGCAATGTTCACAAGCACTAACTTGCAGTGCAATGTTCACAAGCACTAACTTGCAGTGCAATGTTCACAAGCACTAACTTGCAGTGCAATGTTCACAAGCACTAACTTGCAGTGCAATGTTCACAAGCACTAACTTGCAGTGCAATGTTCACAAGCACTAACTTGCAGTGCAATGTTCACAAGCACTAACTTGCAGTGCAATGTTCACAAGCACTAACTTGCAGTGCAATGTTCACAAGCACTAACTTGCAGTGCAATGTTCACAAGCACTAACTTGCAGTGCAATGTTCACAAGCACTAACTTGCAGTGCAATGTTCACAAGCACTAACTTGCAGTGCAATGTTCACAAGCACTAACTTGCAGTGCAATGTTCACAAGCACTAACTTGCAGTGGCAATGTTCACAAGGCACTAACTTGCAGTGCAATGTTCACAAGCACTAACTTGCAGTGCAATGTTCAGTGCAATGTTCACACATAACTTGCAGTGCAATGTTCACAAGCACTAACTTGCAGTGCAATGTTCACAAGCACTAACTTGCAGTGCAATGTTCACAAGCACTAACTTGCAGTGCAATGTTCACAAGCACTAACTTGCAGTGCCAATGTTCACAAGCACTAACTTGCAGTGCAATGTTCACAAGCACTAACTTGCAGTGCAATGTTCACAAGCACTAACTTGCAGTGCAATGTTCACAAGCACAACTTGCAGTGCAATGTTCACAAGCACTAACTTGCAGTGCAATGTTCACAAGCACTAACTTGCAGTGCAAATGTTCACAAGCACTAACTTGCAGTGCAATGTTCACAAGCAAAGCACTAACTTGCAGTGCAATGTTCACAAGCACTAACTTGCAGTGCAATGTTCACAAGCACTAACTTGCAGTGCAATGTTCACAAGCACTAACTTGCAGTGCAATGTTCACAAGCACTAACTTGCAGTGCAATGTTCACAAGCACTAACTTGCAGTGCAATGTTCCAGCAACTTGCAGTGCGTCACACCTTGCAGTGCAAATGTTCACAAGCACTAACTTGCAGTGCAATGTTCACAAGCACTAACTTGCAGTGCAATGTTCACAAGCACTAACTTGCAGTGCAATGTTCACAAGCACTAACTTGCAGTGCAATGTTCACAAGCACTAACTTGCAGTGCAATGTTCACAAGCACTAATTGCAGTGCAATGTTCACAAGCACTAACTTGCAGTGCAATGTTCACAAGCACTAACTTGCAGTGCAATGTTCACAAGCACTAACTTGCAGTGCAATGTTCACAAGCACTAACTTGCAGTGCAATGTTCACAAGCACTAACTGCAGTGCAATGTTCACAAGCACTAACTTGCAGTGCAATGTTCACAAGCACTAACTTGCAGTGCAATGTTCACAAGCACTAACTTGCAGTGCAATGTTCACAAGCAACATAACTTTGCAGTGCAATGTTCACAAGCACTAACTTGCAGTGCAATGTTCACAAGCACTAACTTGCAGTGCAATGTTCACAAGCACTAACTTGCAGTGCAATGTTCACAAGCACTAACTTGCAGTGCAATGTTCACAAGCACTAACTTGCAGTGCAATGTTCACAAGCACTAACTTGCAGTGCAATGTTCACAAGCACTAACTTGCAGTGCAATGTTTCACAAGCACTAACTTGCAGTGCAATGTTCACAAGCACTAACTTGCAGTGCAATGTTCACAAGCACTAACTTGCAGTGCAATGTTCACAAGCACTAACTTGCAGTGCAATGTTCACAAGCACTAACTTGCAGTGCAATGTTCACAAGCACTAACTTGCAGTGCAATGTTCACAAGCACTAACTTGCAGTGCAATGTTCACAAGCACTAACTTGCAGTGCAATGTTCACAAGCACTAACTTGCAGTGCAATGTTCACAAGCACTAACTTGCAGTGCCAATGTTCACAAGCACTAACTTGCAAGTGCAATGTTCACAAGCACTAACTTGCAGTGCAATGTTTCACAAGCCACTAAACTTGCAGTGCAAATGTTCACAGCACTAAGCCAATTGACTTTGCAGTGCAATGTTCACAAGCATAACTTGCAGTGCAATGTTCACAAGCACTAACTGTGCAGTGCAATGTTCACAAGCACTAACTTGCAGTGCAATGTTCACAAGCACTAACTTGCAGTGCAAATGTTCACAAGCACAACTTGCAGTGCAATGTTCACAAGCACTAACTTGCAGTGCAATGTTCACAAGCACCTAACTTGCAGTGCAATGTTACAACACTAATTGCAGTGCAATGTCACAAGCACTAACTTGCAGTGCAATGTTCACAAGCACTAACTTGCCAGTGCAATGTTCACAAGCACTAACTTGCAGTGCAATGTTCACAAGCACTAACTTGCAGTGCAATGTTCACAAGCACTAACTTGCAGTGCAATGTTCACAAGCACTAACTTGCAGTGCAATGTTCACAAGCACTAACTTGCAGTGCAATGTTCACAAGCACTAACTTGCAGTGCAATGTTCACAAGCACAACTTGCAGTGCAATGTTCACAAGCACTAACTTGCAGTGCAATGTTCACAAGCACTAACTTGCAGTGCAATGTTCACAAGCACTAACTTGCAGTGCAATGTTCACAAGCACTAACTTGCAGTGCAATGTTCACAAGCACTAACTTGCAGTGCAATGTTCACAACACTAACT